TACTCTAATATAGGTATGCTAAAAAAGGTAGGTACATCACAAAATTATAGAAACTACAAATTTATGCTTATCGAAACATCACCAAATTTTTACATTCTTGATAAATTATCATTTTTGATGTTTGTATATTTTGCATATCATTAACATTGGCACTATAGCGGAGACTAGAACATTTCATACTTTTAATGCATTAACGGACCATATAGCTGGTCCTATGTTTGTTGTCATTGCTATATAGATAATAATGTAATTAACTAAAAAAAAGTGTGTATATCATATTTAAGAATGACATGTAAAATAAGTTATTGCACATATACATAAGATTCTGAAACGATTTTCAGCTAAATATATTTTTTTAAGCAGGCACATACACAAGAAGGGTTAGGGGTTCAACCCTCCCCCAACCAAAAAAAAAAAACTTCAGGAAAATTATTAAATATATTTTTATTGAGTGAAAGTGGTTTATGTCTATCAAGAAGAGAAATATATATCTGCAGTTTTATAGCTCGCATTTCCGTCGTAATATAAATTACATTCTCGATTAGTACTCGATCGAATAGTGTTTTTAAAATTAAAATTTGTATCATAAAAATAAATATTTTTATATTACCTAAAAATTAACATTCTAAAATATATTTAAGTTGTTAATGAGAAATAAATAATTCTGTAGTTGAAATTATATAATCTTATTTTTAGGTTAGATTATATAAATATGAAACTGTATAACYTAAAATCTCCCTCCCCCTCCCCAAAATAATAAAAATATTTTGTGTACGCGCCTATTTTTAAGGAGATTTAATTGTATATTTTACATTTATATTGTTCCAGTCGGTGGCGATGGTTGTGCTGGTAAATAATAAATCGTGGACTTACAACCAATTAAATTTCGATTTATTCTATATTTCTATAAAAGATACGATATTTATACAGTGTGGTACGTGGGTAYATATTAAAATAATTCACATCTGCGGTCCCTCAGCTGCCAAGCACAGGTGACAGGATACTTTGAAATGAAAGAGGACATGCCCTATAAATTGTATGTTCAATTAATAATGTTAAATGCTTAAATAATACCCAGGTCTATGTGTCACCTCCTGCTCCAAGACATGGGTAATACCCAAGACTCATGTTTTTGGGAAACCTTATTTTTTTTCCATCATCATACCAACCAATGCAATGTTATTTCTCATAATATACCTATATATTAAAAATTACAATATAACCTTTTCCTTATTGTTGTTTTGTATACTATAGATTATAGATATTAAATAGGCGACGATGACCCAATAGCACGTGTCACCACTCGCACACAATACACATAGGTTTGTACACAATTCAATCTTAATAATAGGACTGTAACGACTGTAACTGTRTTACAAAGTCGGAAAAAATTCTAAAAGCCTATCACAAGATTTTTGGTGTTATTTTTATCCGAGGATGCCAGTTTAAAAGAATAAAAATTATAAAACAAAAAAAATACTAATAACTAAATAATAAACGAATAATATTTCATTAGTAATAAAGTAAAATATTTACAAGAAGCTCCCTCTTTATTATAATGCTGCTCAACAAATAGCATTTTATAGGTCATTATAGAAACCTAATTATTATTATCACTTAATTATTGGCTATGTAACTATGTAAGAACTAGTGTATAGGTACGTGTTGTGTATTACAGACGATCCTTCACTACTACTCGATAATATAGTCGACTGTATTTTACTTATATATTCGTTATAGAACGGAACTGAGGCATTCGTTCAGTTAATCTGTATAACTAATTCATGTGGAATAATATCCAAAAATGGAAACAAATGAAATGAAATTTTTAATCTTATTAAATTAAATTCAAAATAATAACTTTTAAACTAGGATTGAAATTGAAAAAGAAATATGAAATATAATTAATTAATTCGGATACATACAAGTAAAAATGATGAAATATGATAAATCTGACAAATWTTCACTTAGATTTGATTTTAGATATAAACTGATGACACTTTTATCATAAAAAGAACTTCGATAATATTAACAAAATGAATGACCTATATTTGGATGAAAAGATTTTATATATTACTGATAAACTCATGTTTTATATATTTTATTATAGTTTATGAATTATAAAAATGCCTGTTTCTAATAAATTAATAATTGTATTATTATACAGGCAATTTATGTATGAAGAATCAATTTGATTTTTCGATAATCTGAATTTGCTTAAAGTATAAACGAAYGAAAATGTAACTTTTAAAATGTTCACCCATTAGATTCATGTAAATTAATGATTGATTATAATTTATATTATTAAATGTTTGAGTACATTAGTTAAATTAATAAATTTAATACATTAATACCGTTTGAAAAAAATTTAAAATTATATGTACTTAATAACGTTTTTGAATTTTGTATGCAGTTTTTTTAAATTCAGTTTTATTGTTTACAGGCACTGTAAAATGGACTTGAATACTGCTTTATCGGATTCCAAAATTGCTATACATTTGTTTTTCAACAATAAATTTGACGATGCTCAACATATATTAGAACCATGGTATGTACCTACTTTTAATACTATAATATATATATGAAATTGATGTATTTTATGTATTTACAATATTAACAATAATACAATTTAGTTATAATATAGTTAGTAGCATTTAGGATAAGAAAGATACTATTACGTTTAATCCAAATACTTATATAGATCAGCTGTATACATTTCTTTATACGTGTATAAAGATATGTGTAGRTATATGTACATACACCTATACATATCRAAGTAGGATCTTATAGCTAGAGTTAGCTAGCTATCAGTTAGTTATATATCTATATATATAGCTAGCTTATCAGTTGAAAAGTATTATTCGTTTTGTTGGATGAGTTCATAAAACAAACCCTATAAATTAGTTTATAGATTATATTGTACATCCTTTTGGCAGTAGTTTTAGAAAAAGATTTACTCAGAAAAACGGTATAAGTAAAAAAGTTATATATAGGTATATATATTGTTTTGAATGGAAAATCAGTATTATATTTGTATTTATAATATCAGTTTTTAAAACCATTTATGTAAATACTATATGTACACTGACACCTACATTGATTAATGTATTAGAAATAAGTGTTTAAATACTCGCTTCATCAATGTACCTATTAAAAAAATCCTATAGATACTCGCAAATACTTTACATGTTTAGAGTAATTTTTGTTGCCTAAAAATCAATTTTAAACAAAGTTTATGGCCCTCTCTAGTAAGTACACGAGTTTTGTTGAAAATTGAATCGGTACCTACTTCCTAATTATTTGGTATAATTATTAATGACCAATATTTCCATTTAAGTATATTTTTTATTTGAAGTTCGATAGAAACAAAAAATAATTTTTCAAACGTGCAGATGCCATTTCATATTTTGATCAAAAATGTTATCTAAATATCTAACCTACACATTCTTATTTCACAACCGATTAAGTAAATAAATTATTAGCGATTTATATTTCATCAAATGGAAATTTAAAAGTTTAAATGAAATCAATAAATGTATATGAAAACGTTTATACGTTCAAAATTTATACTGAAGTGAAAATACAATTTTTTTAATAATGGTAAAATGATAGATAAAAACAAATTAGAATGCACATTTAATGCCGAAATAAATTTATTGGGATTTTAGATTTGTCATATTTGGTATTACGTTTAATAGGTTAAAATTAAGATGGGTAAATACTAAATAGTAATACCATACCAATAATTACACGGTTGTAAATATAATTATGCAAGTTAAATATACTATAACTATAAGTCTATAACTATATAATATCAAAGGTTATTTTTTAATAAAAAATTAATATAAGAAATGATACGATTTTCATAATTTTCACAACAAAAAATTTAAATTTACATCACTAAATCACTAAACACCTATACTGGCCACAATATTAATCTACATTCTACATATTATTTATAATAATTCGATTTATGATATTTATTATTTATATGTCTATTTAAAGTTAATTCGTAAATATCGCATTTTTCAACGCTCTATCTTAATTACACATGTATAGGTATTATTATAACAATTTATTTTTATTAAAACTATAATGTGTATTTAWTATTACATCGAATTTATAAAAAAATATCATTATAGTTTATTCGTTGAAAAATGTGATATTTACAAATTAACTGATTTAAAACTTTCGACCGTCATAAAAATGACAATTTTGAAGATATCAACAAACTGTCAAGATCAAAGTTGTTCAAAAAGATAAATCAATCGAAATCCGGTCTTCAAAATAATGGTTCCTATTTAAGAAATTTTTAATTAACTTCGGATGCACTGATAAAAATAATTATAAATTATTATTTATCAAAAACAGACGTATTTATWAGTCCTATTWGCAGTATAAGAACCCCGAATCAAATTCAAGGTCATGCGATCGAAATATTTCCTGTTACCTTTAAAATTGAACACACGGTATATATCTAAAAAAATTATTTTTTCCATTTTTTGATGCCTAAATTTTCTAYTTAAAAACACAGGTAGGGTAGTAGCTAATAACTAAAACTAATTGGTTTTTGTAGTTATATACATACAATCGGCATAGGAACAGTATTTTATAATAAAGTGATAAACATGAACGTTTTGAGGGGAAGCCATATTTTTATGGAGAGTGGAACTAACTATTTTCGAGATTTTCTATTTTAAATATTTGTAAGTTCTTATTTTAGTSTCCATATACAGCGGTGCAACTTGAAAATAATTTCAGGGGGATGGGTTTAAATTGTTTCAATATATATAGGTACATAAGAGATTATAATATGCTGGTAGCCAAAAACCATGATTTAGGGGGGGATATAAACTGGTTTCGCCACTGCCTAAATATATTATTATTTGGGCAGTGAGCTTAACCACTTAATTGTTTTTCTTTCATTCTGAATTCACTCTTTACATTCATAACTTTTATGAGATTTAGTGTAACTATGGGTAAGTACTCTGTACTAGGGAGTACTATATASTGGGTATATCCACATAGTGGCATATATGTATTTTTTTTTTTAAATCTCGAAATAAATTTGTGTTTTTAACTTCAATTGTTTGTAATAGTAGTAATTCAAGCTCAAACTATATACATTAAATTCTGATTATTTTAAAACTCAAGGATAACCTAAACAATTTAAAGATATTGAGTGATATTGTAATAGTAATTATTTAAATGGGATTAAAATCGAGTTCAACATAAATAGAATCTACTGTATTGTTAGTACTATATTGTCTATATTATAATTATCGGGTCTTATAGTGGATTATATGGCTGCATCATTCTATAATATAAAAACGGAAGGAAAATTAAGTAGGTGTAAGTACTTCGGGATCAAAAGCTTTATTTCTAAAAATACTATGTTTGATAAATATTGAATAACACGTACAACAAAAATGTATATATTACGAGCGTGCTGCACGAACAATTTTAGACAGTGTACTGTACTCGGAAAAATGTAATATCATGAATCATTATTTTATATGTTTGTATTGTATAATTTGTATTTATAACCAATGGGATTATAATAGTGTAGGAAATGCGCTTTTACAAAATTGCCGTTTTGTTTTTCTATTATGTTCAAAAACAATTACTTCATATGTGCAAGAACACACTATTATATTACACCGACCTTGATATTGTGCAATCGACATGAAATGCTATCTTAATTTCTTGAATAATTTCATATAGTTTTTAAATTGCTATAATATTATGTAGGTGCCTATATAGCCGTACGAAATACGCGTATTTAAGTTAAATTTGTAGAAACATATAATTATCACCTAATCATTATAAAATACGTATATATTCATTYTATATTTAAATTCGTACCCATATGTGCTTGATGTAAATATTGTAGACTATAAGTTTTTAGCTGATGCAATCACAAACACATTAGCTTTTTTTTCAATAATTAATACCAGTACGAAATATCTAAACAACGCGCAGGCACGTCGCCAAGGGGGGGTCTTAGGGGACCTGGGGCCTGGCACAAGAAATGTCAGTGGCCCCGGATTAGCCCCCTTGATTTTTATTTTTAAATATTATGGTGTGTAATATTATTGTTCTAAGCCGGTTAAATCCTAGTTGTATATTATATGGTACTCCATAATATAGTAAAGTTAACGATCGTATAACAAAAATTAAATTCCGAAATTTTATAAATATTCGTCAATAATGCAAGATAGACAATAAGACGCCTATTAATAAATTGAAATCTAGAAATGCCAAATACGGGTATCGAACGCACATTTGATAAACACAACTACAGACAATACTATGTATAATAGTGGACCAATACGGTAATCGTATAATAAAATAAACATGCCTAACAAAATGATATGTCCCAATATAATATTATTATCTATCGAGTTAGAAACTTAGCACTAAGCAGCGAAYCATAAAAATAGACGACTTGTCCTAATATAGTTTTTTAAGATGTATATTGTATACCTATATTAATAAATAACAAAAATATAATGCTTAACTAATACAGACAATACATTGTGAAATGTAGTATTATTTTTTATAGATATTGTCTGATAAGGAGAGGAGTGGTATTGGGTACAAAAAACAGAAAGGGGCCAWAAAATATTGGCCGCCTTATAGAAAAATGTCTAGTTACGTGCCTGACAACGCGCTCATAGTATCCGTATGCCATATATGATATATGTAATTGTATTTCCCACATTTTATCGTCATCTATRCACGAGAAAATGCTTTAGTTCAATCTGTATATGTCAGACATACACTTGATATTTTTACTATTTTTAAAAATGTTGTGGCAATTACACTCGATGTACCTGTGGCACCTTGTGCCAATCTACTCGAATCGTTTAAATTTTAAATAGGTACCAGTAGGACCTATATACCTGCCTCTTGTAACRACTTGTTCGAAATTAGATTTAAACGTCGGTATATTCTGAAATAAGTATTCTGCTTTGAGATAAAATGTGTGTTAACGTCTAAAAATTTAAGAACTTAAAAAAAAAGATGGACAAATGGGTACCACTCTAATGATATAAAATTTTTGTATATACGAAAAACGATTCTAAGTAATGACGATTTTTTTATCATTATTTAGGTAGTGTCGTATATTTTATTATATTATTTCTATTAAAGTAATTAATTTTACTATTAGATATTAGTGATTATTGAACAACCTTGTAATACATTTTAAACTTTTTACTCAACAAAATATTTTTTATCAACATTTATAGAGAAAAAAACTAAAATGAAAATTTAAAATCCTTCAAATTTATGAAGAGCCCACAAATTATTAAAATGTTATCATGTATAGAAAATTATGAACAATATTATTAATGAACATATAMAATATCTATGGCTTGAGACCGGTTTTTTATAAATATCCCGTTTTGTTTTTGGTTTATCATGATGTTTTTAAAATTTACTAGGAATTTATCCTCCCCTTTCCTCATAAAAAAGTATTAACTAATTCACTTTCCTACCAATGCTGAAGTAAAAAATTTAAGAATTTTTACTGCCCCAAAAGAGGATGATAAACACAATTTTTATAACACATCATTGTAAAATCAATATACATATTCATCAATTCACATGGAACCTAAAATGATAAAAGCATATTTTTTATTTAATTGCCTAATTGTTGATGAAATTATACACTTAAATAAAGGATCACCTTGTAAGTCAACAATATAATATAATGGTGATTACGAATGAATATAAACGGTACCGTTTTAGCGGATAATATATTTTATTTTTTGTACTTTAATAATAATATGTACTTTTTTATTAATTGCAATACAACAAACTTGTTGAATTACCTTGTAAACCGTTTTAWAGCGAATTCTATAGGTACTCTGAATTGCATTAAACCGTAATCTACTCTAAAACCTTGTAGATCTTGTTTGACTAACAAATAGATGTTATTTATAATCTTCACCCGATTTTGTAACCAGGGTTCGGCGTCTAATTCCGTTTAATCTCCATAGGTACTTATAATATAATATATTGTTATGTATTTTTTTTCAATCTGTATACATTTATACAGGTCAATTTTCCAGCAAGCATGCTCACACCCGTATTTTCTTTTAATATTGAATTTATTCAAATTCCAATTTTGGGTTTTCTATGAATAGCTATAAAGATCAAATTTTCAAATTCTTGAACTTCTTCTAATTAGGTAGGTATACTTTATGAGGAATGTCCTTTGGTAATACAAATTTCTATTTTTCATACAATAAGTAATTTCCATTTTTACTGTAAATTATTTATAGATAAATTTTTTGAAAATGTTTATGCTTTTAATTCAAAATTTAAACGAGTAGGTAGGTAGTTTTTCAGTTATTTAAAAATAGTTTTACAAAAGATTTAAACATGGCTTTATGTAATATTGGATCTAGTATATATTATACTTGGACCATTTTTATAAATTTTAAATTTTGATAGATTAATCATTAATATTTTACTAAAATCTAAAATGTTCAAATCGCCATAGGCCAGGGATGGTTCTAGGGGAGCTGGTAGGATCGACAAATTATCGACCGTTTTAGGAAAAACGATAATAAGAAAAGAAATTAGAATTTTTTTATTTAATGTAATATAATCATTAATTTATTATTCATTAGTTTGAGGTCATATTTATTTATTATTTATTAGTTTGAGGTCATATTAATTTATTATTTAATAGTTTGAGGTCATATTAATATCGGTAAAAAAATTTAAAACAAAGATTAAGTGTATATTGTAATTATTGTATTTAAAGTAAACAAAATGTTTGAACTTCCTCCCAAATCTTTGTTCTGAATCCGTGCTTCCAACAGGTCGCCCAAAATCATGCCTCTCATATCTTAAAAATCTCATACTTTTCAAACTTGAAACTATTAGCTTTAGTACATATCTAAGGTCCTAAATAACTCAAAAATTACTCATTAAAATGTTAATTCTACACTAAATCATTTTTAGAAAAGGAGAGTTCTGATTATAAAAACAGAAGTTAGGATATTCGTAGGACCTAAATTAGTACAAAAATCTCAAGAATTTTTAACATGGTCTTTAAGTATATTTAAAAATTCTATAAATCAGATTTTGAATAATTGCATTATTGAAGAAAAAATGGGTAGCATGCTTTATGAATCACTCTGTATACAGAGTCTAATCTCCTGTCTTCTATTAAGTATCGCTGAATATGTCTAACCAATATAGGTACATAGTATGACATATACGTAGGTATTTGCTATATTTCAATATTTAACGGAAATTCACTGTTCGATTTCTAAAATATTTCATTACATTAACTCTATACGTAAATTATCTTGGCTTGCTACCTTAGATTTGTATTTAGATACAAGTAACACGAAAATAAAAATTTAATTTGTTTTCTGAAATATTTTATCTGTTTATGGTAAAAGTTGTAAATGTATTAATAATTATAGAAAAGTTTTGAGAGAACCTTTTTTTCCGTTTTCCTGTATAAATGAAGTGTTTTCTACGTGAATCGCATCGAATTCGTTTTAAATAATTTCATTCAATTTCATTTATTCATTTTAGCTATGAGTACAATAAAATTTTGTCTTACAAATAAAGTAACGATTAATTGATAGTTATCAATTTACCATATACCTACTATTTACATTTGCTAGATTGATGTTATTTGTGATGCAGTGGCGTGTTAACAAATTTGTCGACCGGGAAATAAGTTTTATGTTACGAGGTACGACCACTCTTTGTATTGCCCTTTTACTCATCGAAAAAAATATGATCACACATCAAGGAACAATGAATGTATTTAATTATAGCCAACATAGTAAAGAACTGAAATAATTTATGTTCATCAAATATCAATTATATATTAATCGTTATGTTGTCTACATTTAAGATAAAAGTAAAATGTATTAAATATAATATCTATAATAGTATAATTAATACTTAATATACAACTCGACGGCTACAGCTATCGAATTTTACACTTACCATCATCAATATGGGTATAATAATATGTTAAATCCTCAGAATTTGTATCTAAACATTTAAAACATAAATAATGGAGTAATTATTATTTAAAGTAGATATTAGGTACTATTTAAACATACAGCATATACGATATACATACATATCAACATATCATATACACTGCAACATGTAAACATGTTTTGAAATTTTTTTCAATCATGACTTAGAAACTGCACGTTCCTTTATGAAATCCTATTGCATGACTAGTTCCGATAACACTTACGTTATGCTCATTTTACACGAAACCTTTTAGAAAATTCTCGAATACCTATCTAAGTGTGCAAGTCACTATTGCTTACACCAGTATTGGTGTAATTTATTGAAACACGCCTAGATTTAAGTTCCAAAATGAAAAAAAACAAAACACTTTGTTAGACCCCTTTCATCTACGTTTGGTCCTTAATTCTGCTACTTCATTTAGCGAGCAGTGTACAAATGGTACTTAAATGGGTTTTTACTAATTTCCATATAAAGTCAATTTTAATACCTAATTTGTATGCGCTTGCTGTACTGTCAGCGTTGAAATATAATGTGTATCACAATATTTGTAACATTTCTAAATAAATCAGCTGTGTAAACAGGCCAGAAAATAAAACGATAATTAATATCTACGCATTTAGAACACCGAACGTTTACATGTTATTATTGATATTATAATAATAGTACATTATATCTTAAAAATTAAGTGTTCCTCATTTAATTTCAGATTCTATTCACAGAATTAAAAATGATTGATTACTATTTAAAATATTCACGTTATACATTTTATTGTATTATTTAACATAAATAAGAAAATTAGAATAATAGTTTGAGAAATACATTCAGTTAATTTAGTTGTTCTGCAATAGAGGCCAATGGTAATTATTAATCATTATTATGTATGTATCTACTTATAGTTTCAAAGTTGTTCTATTTAAAATTTAAAAATATCATCTTTATCGCCTTATCGGATATGTTAGAGTGTAGCGACTTATATTTAAGTAATATAACATGATGAATTGATAAGTGTTAATAAGTTTATTATTATTATATGTTATGATATGGTACCTATGGCGTTATTAAGTACATTACGTGCATCGGTGTATCGGTGCATCTGATGAAATAATACTTTGTAATATTATGATACAAAACTAATGTATTATTATGTGCTTAAAAATTAAAAAGTTTATCAATCGTCTAATCTACAATTTTGATTATGGTTTAATAGGGTTGGAACGAGTATGTACCACACCATTGGGAGATCGATTTTTCTGTTTCTAGAAGCTTTACTCACATTTGAACAGGTTAATGTTGTTTTATTTTTTATACTATGAAATTTATGTACTTAACATATATTTTAATAATTTGTATTTTAACTAAAAATGTATTATTCATATGTCAAGGACTCGTGTGCAAAAAATAAAATAAAATAAAAACCACGATTTGATTTTATAGGACTAGTTTGTGTCAAGGCTTCGTCTCTACAAAAATAATTTAGTTGTATTTATTAATAATTGTACTTTATAGTTTATACTACCTGTAAAATCTTTCTATTAATATATATATATTTTTATAATACACTTTTAATTATATACACCAAACACAATTGTGCCGTTGAAAATGTTCAAACCGGTAAAAAAAAATATAGACGTAAAACAGACTGATGATGTCGATCTTAGTATCGCATAATATGGCATTGAACAAAATTGCTCATCGTATACAAACTGATTCACCAAACATTCTCACCTCCATTTTTTCCTTTAACAATGAATTTAATCAAATTTGGAATTTTTAAGTGTACTACATTAACCATATTTTGAAAAACTTATGTCGGGTTGTATGAAAAATTAATTAATTAAATTTTAATGGTTCAATAAACTTAATTGTACCTAACAATTATGGATCACTAAATCATGTTCAAGGTATCATTAGCTCACTTTTTATAGATTCAATATTTAGTGATTGCCATAAAACCAGGCAATAGATTTTTTACTGAACAAACCATTTTTACTGATATTTTATTTATAATTTTTTTAAACACTTTTATGCATCTAAATCAAAATTCGAACAAGTAGCTTCTGAGTTATTATAGCTTAAAAATATAAGTGTGAGACATSTTCTTAAGCAGATGATTTTTGAAAATTGAAATCACCACAAGTTGTTTAAATGGTATAAAAATCTAAGAATTTGAAAATATGGTTCTCAAGTACTTATACTTAAAAATTCCCTTAGTCAGAATGAATTCATTATTCATGAAAAAATACAGGTGAGCATACTTGATGAATCACTCTGTATTATAATAACACCGGTGATATATATTATATATTTCATCTGAAATTTTAAAATATCGTATTTTTGTTTATGTATTATACATTCTTGATTTAGTCGAGCATACAGAAAGCTTCTGCGGCGCTGAAATCCAGTATCCGTTTGTGCAATTCGTATCGCAGAAAAACCACTCTGACGCAGTCCATCGGGAACATAATGAAAAAGCCTAACTACGACTCGTATACGCCAGGTATGTTATTTATATCAAAATGTTTTTGAATGATGTAGCATGACTAGAAAATATTTTCATGGTCGAGGGCATACATATCAGGTATATGAAACGACTTTGAAATAGCTTACCAATCAGACTTCAGGAAGAATATAAAACTAATGAATTAAAAATTAACTTAAATCGTAGAGACGTGGATGTGAACGTTTAAATCTCATTACAGACTAGCCCAGCTTTAGGGAAAATAATAAATCAAATATAGAAACTATATTATATTCCTTGAAAAATCCAGTTTTCCTTGTGTATCGATGGAACATTAGTTAACATTAATTTGGAGTTCCTTAATATTGACGTTCTAATATGTATCTTACTTAATTATAATGGCATCTGAAAATTATGAATTGTACATAATCACGAAACAAACTATCAAATTATAAAATTATTTTTAAGCTAAACAATTTTTTTATATACCTAGGTATATGCTAAAATACTAAATATAAACTTTTTAGCACATATTTAAGAGAGTCTAAATACAAAGTTAGGACCCAGCACCTCACCATGGGTTAATTGGAGATTGACCCCTATAGATGATCAATGCGTTTMAAGTTCGTGGTCCTAAAACTAATGTTATCTAATACGTATTTGTTATTGAAGTTACTCTTAATTTTAAATCGAAAATGATTAAATAGACTTGAATAATTTGTATAAGCTGTACACGAACAGTCGTTGAAAAAAATATACTGCCATCAAATTACCTTTTATACGTTTAAGTTATAGATACCTTTATACCTACCAATTACCTTTAGATAATATATTAATGAAACAAGAGATTTGTTTTAAAAAAAACTACAATTTTATAAGATACGTATATATAATACATACTACAAACTAGATGTATCTATAACAGGATATGATTATTATGATCTAACAATTTTACACATAAATATGATTTGCAGATTTTTGATGTACCTACCTACATTCTCTAAGTTACATCTTATCAAATATTCTATATGTTTCCTGCAAATAACAAACACTACAAAATAATACATTATATTTCTTAACATTTATCTAACGCTTCATTGATATCAAAATATGAATGTAGCAGAACTGTGGAACGCATAGATTATTACAATGGTAGTTCTATATCTAGGTAATTGAAATAACCATTAGCGATTTAAATATTGAACGTGATTATTGACCAATTTATTTTAGTCATAAAAATCTCAAAATCATGTTTAATAATTCCCTACAAATTTCTACAGATTGCAATAATGTGCTCTTTTAAATGCAAAAGATAAGTATTTTTAAAGCTATTAATAAATTATTATTTGTACGATTCATTTGAATAGAGCTGTTGTATATTTCGTAATTAATATTAAACTTTTTTTATTAAACAAGAAATTTTCAAAATATCCCCACTCAGTTACATCTTGCGCGTTAGATTAATTATGTATGAAATAAATCATTATATTGATTATCAATATATACAACTGTATATGACTAGAATACACGCTGATAATGATGTTTTTATTTTAAAAAAGCAGGAAATTGGATATCGCTCTGCTGTAYAGTAGGTTATAAGTGGGTTACTGTAATAGATGGAATTAAATTTGAATCCAATGATATTATATCATTGYATACGAAAAACGATTCTGAGCGGAGACGGTTTATCTGTTTAGGATATATTATTATAGATTCTTATTACTTATTAATATATTTGACATTCCGGTGGACATTTTTAGGTAGAAAAACTTATAAGGAACTTCGAATTAAATTTTCAAATCTTAGATTTAAAAAGAAAAATGTTTATGAATTTCTATCTATGATAATTTGAACATTGCCGTAATCCTTACGTATTGAGTAGAAATTTGAACTTTAAATGTTTATAAAAAAAAATCGTGTCTATGTATTTTTAATATTTTTCAACAACTATTGAAACAATATGTTGGAAGCCTTAAATTAAATTTTGAAGTTTTTTGACCCAACCGATAAAATTGTATTGACATTAATAGAAAAAAAAAACTAAAAAAGTTGAAAAATTAAAATGCCAGTAAACAGCTTAAAACTATTCAAAATATTTTTAAAATTTTATCAAATATAGAAATTACCTTAATAAACATTTAGTGAACATTTCAAGTATCTGCGGTCATTTTTTTTAAAGTTACACCACAACAAGAAAATCGCTAAATGAGAAATTTAGTGAAAATCCAATGTTGTAAAAATTTAAATTTCAAACGCTCATAAAAACTTAATTTGACTTTCTGGTGGATATTTATTTTATGATAAAGGTTGACAAACTTGTAAGAAATCTTGTATTAAATTTTCAAATCTAAGATTTAAAAATAAAATTTTTTATGAATTTCTAGCTTAAAATAATTTGCGAATTTTTGTGATTTTTACGTATTTTGTCAAAATTCAAACTTTGAATTCTTATAAAAAAAAAAAATGTGACTATGAATTTATTTTATTTTTCAACTTTTATTTTAACTATATGTTGGGAGCCTTGTATTAAATGTTCAAGCTTTTCTATTCAACAAATACATTTTGATCGATATTAATTTTAAAAAAACTAATAATGATTGAAAATTACATATGCCTATATAAATAGTTCAACTTCAGTCGAATTATTTTAAAAATTGTATGGTGGATAGAATATACTTATATAAAATTCGGTGAAAATTTCATGCAACTATGGTCATTTGTTTTAAAATTACTTTAAAAACCAACATTTTTGGGTTCGATGGAAACTTTCTAAATTGGTTATGTTCCTATCTTTGTAATAGAACTCAAGTAGTTAAAATTTCTTTTCACTATTCCAATRAATACTTAGTTACCTCGGGAGTTCCTCAAGGATCTCATTTGGGACCACTTCTTTTCCTTATTTTTATTAATGATCTTCCTCTTATTTTAGATAGTTCGGTGAATATTTTGATGTTTGCTGATGATGTAAAAATTTACTGTAAAGTCAAAGATGTTGTTGACCAAAATTTGTTGCAATATAATTTAAATAAGCTTTTATTATGGAGTAAAAAAAACTATTTATCCTTAAATTATGATAAATGTAAAATTATAACCTTTTCACGGACTAAATGTCCTGTTTTCCATAATTATCTTATTGATAACCATCCTCTTAAAAGATGTTCTTCTATTACAGATTTAGGTATTTGTTTTGAATGTGATCTGTCGTTCAAAATAAATCATAAAGCAATCATAAATAAAGCTTATAAAATGTTGGGTTTTATTACTAGGAATACTAAAGACTTTAGAAATCCTATTTGTTTAAAAAAATTGTATACTTCTTTAGTTAGATCAAACCTAGAATTTGGCTCTTTAATTTGGTCTCTTAACTTTTCAACTTATTCAAATGAGCTTAATAATATACAGTATAAATTTCTGAAAAGAGTTGCCTTTATTACACATTGTACGATTTCCAGAGACTCATTTCTGCTGGTTCAAGACGCTATAGGTATTGACCCTCTCAACATTAGACGTGATCTTATAGATATAATGTTTGTTTATGATATTTTAAATAATAATGTAAACTGCCCAGCTAAGTCAATAACATATTAATATACTTAGTTTGAAAAATCATAAAAATTTTTGTGTTTACAATGAAGGATTGAAAATACAACACTAAGTTGTCCATAAGTTTTCCTTCAAGTAGCTATAGAGAAAACTCGAAGCATCATTATGGGACAAATTTTAAGTGCGTTTGAATTTTAAATTTTTACGAAATAGCGTAACGATAACGATTTATCCTGAAACGATTTTAAATATTTGTTATTATTCAAAAAGTATAAATCGTAGGTACTTGAAAATTTTACCAGTAGTTATTACGATTGGCATTTTCTTTACATGATTTAATTTTCATAATATTTTGACTATTTTTGAGATATTTATAGACAACTGAAATTTTCAATTTTTTCTGAAAATTTTTTTTTGAAGTGTCGATTAAATGTTTTTGGCCCTATCAAAATACTTGAAAATTTAATACAAAGTTTCCCATAAGTTATTCTTATAGTAATTAAAAAATTTATAAGAATACATAGGCACATTTTTTTTTATTAGCATTTAAAGTTTAAATATTGACAAAAATTTGTCAAAACCATGAATATTTGCAAATTATTTTGTAGTTCAAATTGCATAAAATTGTTTGTATTTATATATATCTAAGGTTAAAAAATTCAACACTAAGTTTTCCATAATTTTTGTTTCAAATAGCTATAGAGAAAATTTGAAGCGTCATTATAGGAATAATGTTTTGAGCGTTTGAGTTTTAAATTTTTATGAAATCGCGTAACGGTAACGATTTATCTTCAAACCAAGTATATGATGTATATCTATGATAATATAAGGTATTATGAATTATGATAACTACATGCAATGTTTTTGGAAAAAATGATTAACCATGCCTTGTACAAAATGCGTCCTAATTGAAAAATAAAATATTTGTTTCAAAATAGAATATATGATAATATTTAAGTATAATATATCCTAGACTGACAAATCATCTCCGTTCAGAATCGTTTTTCGTATACAATGATACCTCTATCATTGCATTCAAATTTAACCTACCCTAGTCAGAGGTCCACCCCAACCCCTAATGTACAACAGAGCGACATCCACTTACCCGGTTTTTTATTTTTTTTATTGTTTTTCATTGAATTTTTCACCCCAGGTAATTTAAATTACTTTATCGTGACTTTAAAACAAAAATAATACATTATGTTAAGTAACCAAAGAGAGAACATATCTAAGAGAGTGCTCTTATTCGTGAAAAATACGAAGATACAATAAGTAAATAATATAATATTGAACCAATTGCGTTTTTTTGGTGTKTGTGCGTGGCGTGCGTTGTGTTATTAAATTATTTCGTGATATACTAAAAAAGAACGCCACACCTKCGGTATTGCCTCAGTCTTACAAAATATGTACGACTTTCCTAAAACTGTCCTGCGCTGAAAAGAACCAAGAAGGCTACAGTACAGTCATAATTGACACTGCGAAGATAAGAATATTTACTGTGCATTATCGCTTTTGTTTTTTTGATATCACAAATACGAAAAAAATTCTTATCATTTAAAAAMTTATTATTTCGAACTTGAATAACTTCTTTTGTATTTGTGATAYCCAAAAAATAAAAAAAATATTGCACAGTAAATTTTCTCATCTTCCTAGTGTGAAAATTCGATTTCTTAGTTATGACTGTAGCCTTCCCGGTTCTTCCTCGCACAAAACAGTTTTTGCTATGTTGTTCGTTTGTTAGACGGAAACAACACATACTGGTATGGCGTCTTCTTAATGTCTTACGTTTAACACCTGTTGTTAATTATTATTACTTTTGTTACCTGTACAGACGAGTTGCACGCTGAACTGTGTTTCGCCGAAGCACTGTTACTCAAAGCACTGTTGACATTCATCGAGGATGAGACGTTAGTCAGTTTCATCCGCGCTGGCATTAAAATACGATCTTGCTACAATTCGTACAAGTAAGTGTTTATCTCGTAACCAGTACATATTGCACGACCAATACGTTTTTTTAACTCTATYGTCTGGTTGTGTGATTAGGCTATATCCCAGGGACTAATAGGTACCTAACACTGAGTAATAATTATTATAATATTGCCCTCCAAAGTCCAAACACCTATGTGGCTACCGGTTAGGTTAGGTTGAACATAATTATATATATTTTTTTAGATATTGTTAGATTTTAATTAGACAATGATTTATAACATTACAAATATTTTTGGTTAATAATGATTATATTTATATTTTTTTAAGCAGCTTCAACTGCTACGATTTAGGGAGATAGTATTTTTTGCCAATTTTATTACTTGTAATTAGCGCCACTAATAAGTRCATATAACTATATAAGTGCGTTTGTAAATTACTCCAAAATATAAAAATATAACAATATATTTGTGCGACATCTCAAAATTAATTTTGGTAATTTACGACACGACAAAARACAAAAATAAATGGAATATATAATCTACGTCATCATCTATATATGGAATATATAATCTACGTCAACTTCGATTGTTTTACAATTAGTCGAAATTGTAAATAAGCATAACGGTCATGATCAACTGAGTATAAACAAATAAAAATGTATTCAATGAAAATCAAAGGAAAGCTATATGAAAAATCTGTATACAATACTATGTAATATATTATGAAAAGAAATTTCTGATWGGTTCTACTTATTATTTAGTATGCATCAAATACATTTATTTATAATTATATAATRTTATAGATTTTTATATTTTTATATTTTTATTACTAATCAACATTTTTGCTGTTTACTATACATTAAGTAGGTACGTACGTATACTTATATTTTAAATACATTTATTTTATTATTTTAAATTGGCACAAATCACAATACTATAGGTATAGGATGGCACTGATTATATAACCTTTATTGATGGCGGTTATTAATTCAGTTTTATGTAACTCAAACTACAACCTTGAAAAATGACACAAATCAACAAAATTATTTTTAGATGKGGTGCAAATTACAGACGAGCACGCATTATTCATGATTCTGGTTAAATTTCTAGGTATTTKTACTTGTGAAATCTTCATAACTTAGCCACTTAGGTTATTTTATTATAACGTATTAATTCATATTCTATAAAAAGCCATAACGGTTAGTGACAAAAATAGCAAGCCTAAACATTAATTATCAGTTTAAAAAAAATCAATTTAAAATTTTCTTATAAATTTAACATTTAGGTACCTACGTATACATCATAAGAAGAAAGCGGCGATTGTAAACTGCGCCCAAAATACAGGTAAACACAAAATCACACATGTAAATTGCGCCCCAGTAAAATTACAGGTAAAATAATTAATTCGTTACAGCCATACTCGTATATAATATGAATAATTAAAAATAAAATATAATTTTAAAAAGCAAAATAAACACAAATATTACAAATAATAACGTCATATTGTTATAAGATATTAGGAATTTAAAAAAATATATTTTTAAAAATTAAAATAATTATAAATATTACAAAAAATAACATATGGTGGATACTGGATACATATTCATCAATTGAAATTTGACTACTATTATATTATATTTTCTAACTTTTCACGTTTTTTTTTTTTTTGTTTTATAGTTTTGGAATTTAAACGGTTCATTTATACTATTTAGTTTAATGTATATTTCTATTTGAATTTTTTATAATTTTTCTGTGTTCGGCCATCGTGACTTTACTGATTAAAATGAATACGATAGGTACTAACAGAACTATGCCGGAAGTAGTGATAACCATCAATTATCGTGTTACTGCAATGTAGATATTCAATAACGTGTTGGTATTTCTTGACGAAAATAAAATGTCTGCGATATTCTTGAAAAAGTACATATAAGTAGAAAAACATAGAAACTTTAATAAGTCAAAATTAAATAAGTTAATAAGTTGGGCGCAGTTTACACTTAACTTTTTTAACATTGATAAAATTTCGGGCGCTGTTTACACTATACCTTTTCAACATAGATAAAAATTCGGGCGCAGTTTACAAAAAAAAAAGGTAATTTGAGCGCAGTTTACGCATGCCCGAAGAAAGAACATTATACGAATTAAATACTGAACTTTTAAAACAAATATAATTCAAGTTATCAGTGTTAGGTGTACTTCCCTCATTCCCTGTATTTCCTTGTTTCGTGACACTTATTTTAATAATGTGTGTGAGCGTGTGTTAGTTTTTAAATTAATAAATATTTAGCTCGCATAATATTATGATTTTTTTTTTCTAGAGAATGTAACGTCATACTTACCTCACGTGAGTGGTCCGAAAACGAGAAGTCTTACAAAGAGCATTTCGAGAGCGGTGTGCGCTTAGGTATTGGGGCTTTTAATCTGGTAAGTGTTATGTGCAATAAACTACAAACAAATTTTCGCATATAGATACATATAGTTATAATAATATCGATGATTATATTATATAAAGTTATTCACCTTGTATGCTCACCATCATTTTCCCTTCAATTATTAATATATTACAACTCTGATTTTTGGAACTTGTAAGTATACCTAAGAGGGTCATATTATCAAATACTTAGAATTTAATATAATTTAAACAGTATCCTGTAGCATACCAACTTCTTTTTTTAAAATGAAAATCGCCTTATTTTCTATAAATTGTTAATCAGATAACTTTTTCGTATACTTTGAAGCATCTAAATTAGTAATTATTGAGTTTTTTTTTWAAACYGTTTGACTAATGATTATGATGGATTTAGAAGATATTGAAGCTTTTTTTATTTAAAAACATACGTAATTAATATATAATTAATCTTTTAGTAATTGGTAAAAACTAAAAATTCCGAATATTATAAATATTAGACTCATTATTATATTCGTATATTATATTTTGATAAAACCATTTTTATGGAATATTATCCAAAAAACATACATAATATTAATAGGTAACTAAAAACTTACCAACTCAATATTCAAATTTTAATTAAGATGTATCTACATTTCAGTAAAAAGAACAAGTTTGTATTGCCACAGGACATTCATAAAATTATATAAAATATAAATAATTGAAAATACCGTGTACCTGTTTAAAAATTTCAAAAATCTGAGTTGAAATAAACTCATCGTTAAAGGAAAAATGAGTATCGCGGAATCATGGTGAATCAACGGGTATTGTCGTATTGATATGTCATTAAATTTAATGGTCGCCACGAAATTATGGTTGCAATCTTATTGTGTAACACATTATTGCTTCTTACTCACTTTATATTTTCACACTGCACACATTTTTGTGAATTTACTGTATAACATAACGCATACGAATTTAAATTTATATGTGTATTTTTATTTTTCCCCTTGTGTATAGATGATATCGTTACTGCCATCGAAAATAATCAAACTACTGGAATTCATCGGGTTTTCCGGGAGCAAAGTAATTATTTTCTAAGAAACACCGTTTACAGTATACATTATGCATATAAAATATAAAATTTTAAAGTACATATAAAATGTACCTTATAATATAATTCGTGGGAACATGGAGTTTTTCAGTTGAAAGGCACAACCGATTAACTCATTTTATACATCAGCACATTCCAGCTAACAGCAGCAGGAGAGCAAAAATAAAATTATCGCATGCGTGTCACTATTTATTTATATTTTGCTCGATCCGCATCCGGTGAAAAAACAGTGCTCTACAGATAAATAGATAATAGTGTTTTAGATGACGTTGACGTATATTATATAAATAAGGAAAAAACTAAATTTACMGCAAAAATGTCACTTTTCAGTTTATTGGTGGTGCCTTTCGGCTGGACACCCGCGAAACGTATTATTATATTATTATAAGTTACGACCACTGCAGATAATAAAGGAATGGGTAGKGGACATGTCATGCATACTAAACTGTGAAGCTCTGTGATCAGAACGGCAGCCAAGGTCGGTAATTTCAAATAAAAGTGCATGGCCTAATAAAAATAAATTGTTTAAAATGTAAAGTTGTATAGTTGAAAATTAATATTTCATAGTTAAACATAAAAATATTAGAAAGTTTTCTAACGATCCAAATTTTGGACTTTTAATTTGTTTTAACGATAATTTTTTGTTGTAAAAATTAAACGCCAGTAGTTGTTGGAAATAATTCATTAACATTTTTAACAACATTTTAAAATTAGCTTATGACGTTTGTAAGATAAGTGCCTACAGACTTTAAATTATGAATTATAGAGTTATAATTTAAGTATTTAACCATTATGTTTTAAATTACTAATTACATATAAAATATGGTGACAATCCGATAACATAGATATAATAATATTATGAATAAAATACAATAAATTATAATTTCAAATATTATAAGAATTATTCTCCTTTTTCTATAGATAGATCACATACTAGACTTAGCTATACGTAAAATATCATAGAGGTATAAAAAAAAAAAAATATATCAATCATGAATATTGACATTTTAGGTTAAAGAGACTGTTGACATAGGTCCGGAGGGATAAATTGTGACGGGGTATCAACAAACAAGTACCTATCGCTTTTTATTTATTTTTTTATGCTTTTATTGGATAATGTGTAAATAAAAGGAATAATTCAATTTGGCTATTTTCTTACTATTACTTATTAATTTATTATATGCTATTTGTTGGTTATATTTGTCTATGTATTTTCAATTCTGTATCATAATATTTGATTTTTGTAATTTTGCTTAACTTAGAGTATCTGAGAAAAAAATTGATAAAGCTATTATTCTTTACAGAAATGAATAAATTTTGGCMTTTCCTAAAATGAAGTAATTAATATTTTGACTTATTTTCTGTTTGTTATATTATGCCGTCCAATTAAATCATCAGAATAAAAGGTACTTTTCCGTTATGCCACGACGACAGCTAGTCTCAATTCTTTATAGTTGAGTAGTTTCGAATTTATTGTTTCATCTGTTAATATTAAATTAGTACATTAGTATAACAACAGAATAAACAGAAGGGTATTAAAAAAAATTGTACATGCGTTTTTAGTAAAAACATGTCCGATACATTGGACTTTAAACAGAATTCTCCAGAGTTACCTTATTCTGGGATATTCTTATTTTTCATTATTTTTGGCGACCAATTTTCGGTAGTATTTTTCATTATAAATAAATAAATAAATAATATTACTGAGTGAATAATAATTATTTTCCTTCGATGCTTTATCTCTAGATAAACTCTGCCAGATAGGACTCTAAATTATRGCCTAAGTTTCTCCTATGCTTTTTATTGAGTAACTGTAAGTTGCGTCCCAATGTATCTTTTTGATGTAAATTGCGTCTCGGGTATTTTTTCCCCATAATATAGACATTTTTTCCTTTTATTTTTATATTAAAATGTATGCCAATTTGCCTTTCCATTTCACCAGACTTAGGATTGTCAATATTACAGTTATAAATTAAAATATTGGTTTAAAAATAAAATAAAAAATATTTATACTAATTTATTCATATATTGATGTAGGTTAAAATTTTAACGGCAGTAAATTCAGTTTGATATGTTATTAATTTATTATTTATTATTAATCTATATTGCTATAACTTGTTACTTTTATGGAATGTCTGTCAGAGACAAATTTTGAAAACGTGGGCTACAACTTACGTATTTACCTGAACAACACTATCAACGACTTACGTATGTTGTTATCTCAAACTTTTTTATCGGGACGCAACTTAATATAAAAGCACCAAAGTTAGATACGACTAAAGCTAATCTAGCTTTTAACACTGTTGAGAGGTATGACAACGGGGATCGGCAACAGGTAACCGAGATAACGGAATTGAGATCCACACGGGAGTAAAGATAACGAAAAAGTATAGCTTCCATAGATAATAAAGATATGGATAGGCTACGCCTATATTAAATATATTTGAGGCCGCGTTCCCGGAGGAGAGGCAATTGAGGCCCTTTTATCAATGCTTTTGTATTGATAGTCGACACTCGATATAGGTATACTTATTTTGCCTCAATTGTACCCCTTAATTCCCACTGATAAGACCGTTATGTCCTATCCATATCTTTATCATCTATGATAGCTTCAGACATCCTACCCTTTCCTAAATKATCTATGACTGGTGTCATATTAAGTAAGTTGGCGTGAATCGTAATGTACTAATGTATACTACGTGTCACTTTCATGAATGTAAATATTAAAAATAGTAACTAACCACAGGAACAGGGTCTCGGCGAACTTGAATTGTGTTACCAGGTACCACATGGACTGCGTCACGTTCTATGTGTGTTGACTATGCTCACATACCACCTAGTCGTAGTATATGTTTTCAGTCAAGAAGAGGGCGACTTAGAGTTTTGTGACACAGCACTGCGCCAACAGCTGACGGTAAGGTTTCGACTCTATCACTAAATGTATTGTATGCATGATATACCGCGAKAATAACATGTACAGTGTTAATGCCTACGTATATATTATTTTGTTTTTGARAAAGGCAGATTAGTGGGGTCTCTGACAAAATAAAATTGATAATCGGATTACAGAGCCTTAGGTACACAGCATAAACCATAGAACGCGCTTGTAATGCACACATATTATACAGAGTGATTCACCAAGCAAATAAGAAAGAATTAAAGAATTACTTTTTTTYCCTATAAATTATAAATTGGAATACTTTTTTAACATGTCGAATGTCGATGTATTTAAATCGAAATTTGAACAAGTATTTCCGAGTTATTTATCGTTGTGCACAAAAGAGTAGTACCTATATATTATATTAAAATTAAAAATTTAATTGGTCTATAATAATGGGTTTGGACGATGTTTAAGTAATTTTTCAACACTTAAAACATCTGTAAAAACTATCCGAATATAATTAATATTACCTATATCCAATATTATATCTAYTATACATGAAATCATTTTTAACTTTTTAAGAATTATTATTCTTAGTATAGGCATTTTTAGTACATTTTAATAACCCACACTGTATCAGTACTCCTTCAAATTTTGATTTAGATACATCAACATTTTCAAAAAAAGTCATCTGCCTWACAGTGAAAACTGAAAACGTATTAAAAAAATGTTTAAAGTKTTACACATTTGTCATATTTAAAAAAATTATATTATTATTATTGCATTAATGTTTTAATTGGAAAAAAATAACTAAATATTATAATCCATGAACCACAATTATAAGATTTATATACTCTATATTATAGTACAACAGTAGTACCCTACGCGTATTCGGCAACCTGCAGTTGAGGTCTTGGGGATTAGGTGAAAGCCTATAGATGATATGTCATATTATTTTATCAAATAATATCTGTCAGTATTTATTTGCCGTTATATGTTTTGTACATTTACATAATCGTGCGCTCAGCTGTATCCCAACGGCGCGTGGTTCTTATACTTCAAAGGACGCCTGGAGTTTATGCGAGGTGACGTAGACGACGCGATCAAGTGGTACACGGCTTCGGTGGAGTCGCAAGACTCGTGGCCGCAATTCCATCACATATGCTACTGGGAACTATGCTGGGCCAATTGGTTCGTATAATAATATATTAGACAGATATACTGCAGGATAATATGGTATAAAAAATGTGTGTTGTCAGTTAAAAAAATAAATAATTTAAAAATTAATTACCATTGCAAATATATGTTTATTTACCTATTTTTCAAATATGTTGTTTAATAAACACTTGAAATTATGTAAAAAAATATATACATATATTTTCAAAAATTTTAATACCTTACGATAGGATGTACTTACAACTAAAAAGAGTTAACCTGCACTAAGATGTTTTAAACATTATAAAATAGTTTTAAATTAAATAACAGCGACCCTCAAGCACGTCCGCWGGATAAAATCCCACCCGGGACAAGATCAAAATAATTCTAAAACCAAATCAAAAAAATTATTTTAAATTTTAATATATTTCTAGTGTCTTCGTTCTAAAATAGCATATAACCTAAATAGAAAAAAAAACAACATTATGTCATCACATTAGTCCCTTATATAGTTATATGTGTAGGTTTACTATAAAATATTAATATTTTTTGAATACATGTTAATGTAGATGTTACAAATTAAATATATTTATATTAATTATCAAATAAAAGTCGTATGCGCTTCGGTTGTATACAAAATGATTGTATATAACGTYTTCAATAATATTTTGTTTTTGCTTTTTAACAATGTCTTTAATATGTGTGGCATTCATAATTTTAAAATATTCCCAGTAGGGGCAATGGCCCCATTGCGGGCACCCTTGGCGACCCGATTGGCGATTACATGAATTTTATATTATATGTTAGATATTAATACACTGATGTACCATAGTACCGATGTACGGATTGCGGTATGTACATAATAATTCGATACGTTTTAGCGTTGCTTTAAACTGGAAACGGGCAGAAATTTACGCAGGCAAATTGGCCGAGCAGAGCAAGTGGTCACGCACTACATACAACTACCAGCGCGCGTGCATCATGCTCATGCGAGGATACAATTGTCTGTCCCGCGACGAGCTCAATGTGGTCAACCAGCTAATGGCGTAAGCGAGCACCTTGCACATGATTATATATCATTATAATATATTGGAGCTTAAATTTTATGTTTTTTTTTTCTTTAATTTCACTGTTAAAGTTTTGAACCGAAAACAATCCAAACAGCACATAAAAAAATCCCTTGTAGCCATAAAGTTAAAACATAAAATTAATTATAATATTTACCACAATAAGTATGTAATATACATGATTACCTACCATTTTAATTTATTCAATATTCTCGCGTTATTCGACTTATTACCTAATGTATTAATATTCATATTATATCGTTTTCGTTACTTAAAATACCACCAACAACAATAATAATATGAAAACAAATTTTTACCTAATAGTGGCCACATAATAATAGAACTAAGAGTTATATAACAAAATAAAAAATGTGTATAATGTATTTCGACACTGAACWAATCGATAATCATTACGTATTTATAACAAGCTCGTTGTTTTCAACATCCAAGAAACATATGAAAACAAAAACAAAATTAAAKTCCGAAAAATGAGTTTCGGTTCAAAACCTGAGGTGTTGTCATTCTATGCGCAAATTATTAAATACAAATAATATAGGCATTACATTGTTTATTATTGCTTGTTTGATTTACAGTGACGTGCCCAAATACAAACAGAGAATCGCTGGAAAATCRTTACCAATGGAAAAATTTGCTGTGAAGAGATCTCAAAGGTTTACCAATCAGAAYAACCGATTGTTCATGCCCGCCATTGAATTGCTGTACTTGTGGAACTTGTTCAAAGTGTTCGGAAAACGCAAGACATTGTGCGACAATCTATACAGACTCATTGACAAAAACACAAAGGACCTTGAAAAAAATCCTGGTACAGTTGTTAATCGATTTATTATATAATTCGTCCATACATCATTGTTAATTCTTAATTGTTATACATTACATTGATATTGTTATCAATTATTGTTGTTAGTATTATTGTTGCTAGAACTCGCAGCAATGGGTATAGGTCAAGGGAAATATTAAAGGGGGATCAAACTTTTTTCGTCCTGGTCCTATTTTAGTGATTGATCAGAATTCAAATGCATGCTTATTTTGAAGATTTTTAGAATAGCTATAATTTAACTACCTACTATAATTACTAAACAAAATAACTTATTTTTAGCAAGGAATAACAATATATATATATATATAGATTATATTTTTGATTATAATATGTTTACTAACTAATCATATTTTTTATTCCATAATCAATGGTAGTATTAAATAAATATAATATCACAGTTCACAGATATAAAATAATACATCAGTATTATGACGTTAAGATAAAAACATATCGAAATTTAAATCGTWTGCATATTCAAATGTCCATCATAATTTGTGCCAACCACAGTTTTATTTTCATTCAGTGACAGAATTTGTACAAGCAGATTGTACAAATGACAAATCAAAGTTTTGTTCAAATATTTTTTTACATAAACATATAGATAGGGRGWACGATTAATTGCTTAAATCAGATTTGTATAAAATATATTTCGCAAATAAAAGTGAATGAGTGAGATCTCATACGGAGTCTCAATATTCGGTACTTTTTGTCGGATTTGAAAAGTACAGTGTTGCCACTTTCAGATGGTGTAACAAGCTTGCAGATATCATTTTTAGTTTTTTTTTAATCTATATTTGTTTAAATCGTCAAAACTGTTGCCAAATAATGAAGTAAAACCCCCTTGGCGGCAGGGAGTAAACTGGTGAGATCTCATACAAGAGCTCATGGCGGCCAATGTGTTAATATAATATAATAGTATCATAGATACTATTATAAAGTTTCACATTAAAATAAATATTGAACATAACTATAGTGTATATTTTCTAAGTTCAGAGAGAATAGTACACCACTACTCTACGTTAACTCATATTTATCTTTGTACAYTTGTCATAGCCCTTAGGTAAACTCTTAATAACTTGTGCTTGTAATTAAAAACTGGAAAATGTGATTAAAAACATTTTAGCCACAGTTTTTTAATTCTTCTTGTTATGGCCCACGAGTAAAAAATATTGGATACCCTTGAATGTTATTTACTGAAGTGTACCTACTATTGCACTATGTATCACCAACCTTTTAAGTGGTAATTTCAGATTTTCTATTAATTGAARTTTGTGGTCTAGTTTATCAGAATTTGAACAGCYGTTTTTAAATAGATGTGAAATCTGACGACAGGTATTAGTGATCAGGTATGAGTGGTATGACCAAAAAGAATCAAATTTAGTTTAACAGTTTAGAGACCTACCTTTTGTTCTGTAAAATTAATTTCAATTTAATTTTTCATCTACAATAAATAAACGCGTAAAAGAAATAGCGTATAGCTACTTTAAATTCTAATWGTAAACCAAGTGTCTTAAGTATAGTAGCAAAGTTAAGATATCCTGATTTTTATTTTGAAATTAGTCATGATTAGCTATTATTGGCGTATAAAAATTAAAGTACCTCGGTTTCTTCTTATATACATAGGTAAAGTTACATGACGTCACACCAGTTTATCTCAAAGTGGACATTGGTAGTCTCCAGGGGGGTGGGGGTGTAAGATCGGGAAACATTTTGMTGRGTTCATTAAAAAGGCTGTGMATTTGTAGGAAAATGCATTTTTTTTGTTTTGGTAACTATGAAAGTGAAACGTAGCTTTGTTAATATATAATTTTGAATTATGGAACAAAAAATCCATTYATGAAACTTTATTTTGCATTTTTTAAGAAATATTWTTTYMWTTTTYSG